AAAATAACGACTTTATTCAACAATTCGTCTCCTCCACGTCACCCTATAGCGCCGTTTTGGAGAGTATCCACTGAACGTAAACAGCGTATGCTGTTCTGTGTCAGCTGTGTCACACGGATACACTGTTTTTGTTCAGATCAAATCACAACAACGTAGGAAACAGATCTGGCGTGACGCAGCTGACACAGAATAGCATACGCTGTTTGAGACGAATTGTTGAATGAAGTCGTTATTTTTGTTTTCTTTGCGTACAAAAAGTATTCTCGGAGTGTTGTAAAATTACGGTTGAACCCCTGATGTCACATGGATTATTTTACCGATCTCCCTGCTACGTTCGTTTCTGGAGATTGTGGTAATTACACTGCTGTCTATGGGAGGGTCAGACAGCTCTCAGATTCCATCAAAAATATCTTCATTTGTGTTACGAAGACGAACGGAGGTTTTACGGGTTTAGAACGACATGAGGGTGAGTAATTAATGACAGAATTTTCATTTTTGGGTGAACTAACCCTTTAATACTTCGAAAAATGTAAATTTGAAATATATTTTCTCTTTACATTTTACTTTTAGTTAAGGTTTTAGTAATTTTGTTGTGTTTTTATTAAGATTTTTTAAAATGGCTACATGGCTTTTATTCATTTTTATTTCAGTTTTAGTTTTAGTAAATAAAGTAAATGAAAAAAATTAATGAAAATGAGAAACAACCTGAAGAGTTCCTCTATAATGTCCGTTACAGTTCATTTTATAAGAAAATTTTGTTTTTATGGTTTTAGTTTTGATTAAATAACCCTGCCATCAAGTAACCACCCAAAACCCTAGCAACCTCTCATAACACCTTGGCAACCACATTGCAACATACTAAAAACCTCACAGAACACATTAGCAATTGTTTAGCACACATTAGCAACTGTTTTGTAAGCACTGGTCACATTTTCTGAAAGAATGTGTAGAAATCTAGTTAAAGCAGTTTTTATTAAATTATTCAGTAAAATACTGATTGTGTATTTTCCAGGTGACAGAGTCTCCATTGCTGTCTGTGATGTCACACCTCCTGAGTTTCCTGGAGCAATATTCCCACCTGCAACAGCTGCAGCAGCAGGCGGATCAGTACCGTCTGCAGCTGCGCAGACACCGCGTCCAGCACTGGCGGAAAATGAAGGCCCTGCGTGCCTCCTACCGCCAGCGCCTCAAAGACAAGAACAGTGTGATTAACAGCCTGGAGGAGGTGATTGCTCAGCAGCAGAGCCCATCATATGAAAATGAGGGTGAGACCTTTTGAACCTAAAAAAATAACAGAATGTGTTAATAACAATGAGTTTCATATTAGATGCCACTTGATATTACCTCAATATTGATTTGTTGGGGGATGCTAAATCTGTTACTAGCCCTGTTGTTTGGTCTGTCTGAAGCTATCAGATTTCTAGTTCATTATTATATTCTTTGACAAAGATTCTGTTGATTTCCACAAAAACTTTGGACTGGATTCATGAATTTTTCAGGATCCTTATAGTTCAACGTCAGTCGCGAACAAGACGAGGACACGTTCACATCATGTGGACTGCTAAAAATTGTACTTTAATTAAATGAGAACAATGAAGAAAAAAATGCCAAAAATAGCAAACTGACGGTTTTAGAAACCGCATCTAGCAGTGAGTGACCTCAGAGCTACAGAGGGCATCTGAACTCTCTGGTGGTCTGTTTGTCCTCAGACGTCACCAGATGTTCCTCTGTCAGCTGTTACAACAGGTTTCCTATCAGCCAGACTCACTATTAAACATTGCATGGGTTTCAATGTCAGATGTACTTGTCTTTGTAGTTCAGTGGATGCACATGATCCTTAATGCCATCAGGATTTACTGAGCTATATTAAGCCCAGAGGTGTTTTAAAGGGGATTCAAGATACTGGCAAAATCAGCCAACAAACTCATGGAAATTCACAACTATTTTATGTTTTGGTGAATTAATTGGTGGCTAAAGACCCATTTACACCAAGAACGATAATTATAAAGATGACTATAGCGCCCACACCAACACACAATAACAATGTTCATTAGTGCTGCAGTTATGCTGTCTGCTGCATTAAATGCTTTAAAGTCAGGTGGTGATTCTGATTGGCTTTCAATGTATTTGTCAAATCTTCATACTAATTTTTCCTCAGATTTTTGCATAATTACATCATGACAAACCCTTCACTAGCAATTATCCTCAGCTGTGACTTGAGAGGAAGCTGACAGTGAAAATAAAAGTCCATTTCATGGTTTTAAGATCCCTCTAAAAAAAAAATCATGCACTGTTTAAGTGTCTAGTATTATATAATGAAATATATGACAAATTAGTTTATATGTTGTTTGCAAAAACTGTATTTCGATCAAAGGAGAAGGTGTATTGTTATCTTACAGCAGGGCTAACTGGGTTATGCTAAAAACCAGACAAACCTTGCCAATTTTGTTCATGATACCCACATGTCTGCAGACATTTAAATGTATCCATTAGCCACCTGAAATACAGATATGATTCATGTTAATCAGATGGCTAAATGTCATATGGAAATGCATGTGTTTGTTGCTCCTGAGACCTCAATATTTTTTATTAGCCATGTAGTAAAAATACCCATCTGCTAGGCTGGCACATGTCTACAGCACTTGGCTTGTTTCTCTGAGGCTCACAGAGATTAATAAAACATTGTGAGAGCTGCTTCTCTTACAAATGCAAGTGCACTTACAAACACTAGCAGCGCTGAACTTCACGTGCACCACTGCTAGGTACTATATATAAATCTGGTGTACAGTGGAAAGAAAATTCACCTTTAAACAATGAAGGTACACTTTTAAAAATGAAGGTTCTTTATTGGAATCAGTGGTTCCATGAAGAACCTTTAAAGGGAAAGTTCACCTAAAAATGAAAATTCTGTCACCAGTTTCTCACCCTCAAGTTGTTCCACACCTTTATGAGTTTATTGCTTCTGTTGAGCACAAAGAAGATATTTTGAAGAATGTTGGTAACCAGACAGTTGACGGTAGCCATTGACTTCCACAATATGGAAAAAATACTATGGAAGTCAATGGCTAACATCAACTGTTTTTGGTTACCAACATTCTTCAAAATATCTTCTTTTGTGTTCAACAGAAGAAACTGTTGAGTAAATAAGTAAATCATGACAGAATTTTCATTTTTTGGGGTGAACTATCCCTTTAACATACATGGAACCTCTCCATTTCACAAAAGGTTCTTTATAGTGGAAACGGTTCTTAAGATTTTTAAAATGTTCTTCACACAAAGAAAAAAAAAAGATCTTTGAAAGACATTTTTAAAAAGCTTTACATTTTAAGAGTGTAAATATGATTATACATTATAATTATGTAACCAGAAAGAGACCAGTAAACCTTCAGTAGCACAGCTAGGAAATTGGTGCCGGTTTAATGTTCATTGTACAAAACTATTTGACAACAGAAATCAATCAGAATCAAATAGAAAGTTGTGTAATACTTAATGAGCTTTTTGTCTAAGCCTGTTCCTCCATCACGTTTGTTCCACATCACGTTTGCAGCGGCGTCCCCGTGAGCGAGTCTCCATTCATCCTTCCCACCAATCCACTCGCTCCCCCCGAGAGACTGACAGCGCAGATCTGACACCACCTGCCTCAGTAATTAGTATACAGCTCAGGAAGAGACAGAATCTCTAACTCGGCATATCAATAATTAATGGCAGGAATCTAAATAAAATGTTGCAGAGCAGTTAGGCCGCCAGGCACGTTGCACTGGACTTTGAGTTCAAAACTCGGGTTGTTGAGGTTGTCTCGAGTCATTGCTTAATGGAGTTTTGCTTAAAGGGGTCATATGATGTTGCTAAAAAGAACATTATTTTGTGTATTTGGTGTAATGAAATGTGTTTATGCGGTTTAAGGTTCAAAAAACACATTATTTTCCACATACTGTACATTACGGTTTCTCCTCTATGCCCCGCCTTTCTGAAACGCGTTGATTTTTACAAAGCTGTCCAGTGCGTTGTGATTGGCCGAATAGCTCAAGCATGTGACGGAAATGTTACGCCCCTTACCATACTGTGATGCCGTGTCCCGGAGCGACGAGACAAAAACATTAAAACCCATTATAAACGAGGCATTTGTTGCATCCAATGGGGACATAATTACGGATTATAATGACTTATACTGTTTTTTTATACATTGCGTTGCATCGCGCCGCATAACATAAAACCATGTCTGCATTTGTGATCGTAGAAATGACAAACAACAAGCGCTACTCTACACTGCTCAAAACTCTCGTTTGAATCGTCAGTGGCAAATCCTTTAAATATGAAAACGTACTTACAGTCTGTGAGTCAGAACAGCCGGCATTGTAGTCTACTCTACCAGGATCAGGAAACAGTCCTCCATAAAATGCGCTGCACACATCTGAATATTTGGGTTGAACTGTTCTGGAACAGTGTTGTGAATACAACTTAACACCTGATTTCTAGTCGTGTCCTCTTTTTTCCGCTTTCGCAACGAAACACACAGCGTTTTCACAACATGGCAGCGGCGGTGGCAGCAACAATAAAGTTACACCTTCTTTCTTTGCGTGAACATTTGGGCGGCGTTATGCAAATCTTCCCACACAGTGATGTAGACATGTGGGGGCGTGTTTAAACGAGGCGTTTTAGGAGGGCGTGGACCAGTCTTAACTTTTATAAAGAATATCTCTTTGGGTTTGAGACTTTAGTCTTTGCAACTTTAGGGATCTTGTCAATTCACGAACAGCTTGTAACACTCCAAAGAGAAAGGAAAACTTGAAATCGCATCATATGACCCCTTTAATGGAGTTCTAACATTTCTTGTAAAAAATAACAACTGGAACAAATTTTGAAATGAAATAAAATTAATGTGATTAGCAAAGGAATCAAATGAGAAAATTTTGAATTTAGATTAAATTCTTGGGCTTTGATTTGATATCTTGGCAAACCTGAGAACAGCTTGCACAACTCTGGAGGAGAAACGTGATATTACTGGGCAGTTTTTCAGATGTTCTCCATTTAATGCAGTCGGTATCCAGGAGAAACAATTGTCTTTGTGATGTTGTTATAAAAAAGGAACCTGGGTGATCTACATAAAACACATTTATAAAAAAATAAAAAGTGGATATTTGTTCTTGTCTTTAAGCCCTTTTGGGTGTGGAGGCCTGTTTGAGCCAATAACATTTGGAAAATCTATCCACTGAGAAATCAATATATCAGTTAAGCAGTCGTTGTTCATGTAAATAAAAAGATAAAAGTCTTAAAAAGATTAATTTAAAAATTAATCAAAACGTTAGAATAACTAGAAAAAACAATGTTTACTTTATAAGTGGTAAAGACAAAATATTTATCTATGCAATTATGAAGTGCTTAATAATTGCATTTTTAATTTATCTATTGCTTTATTTATTAGTGTTTTAATGATTTAATCACTTGATTGATTTAAAGTCCATATGAATTAAATTATGTTAAGTTATGATTACTTTCTTTCGAGGTTTTGATTAATTTCTTATTTATCTTTGTTTTATTTAATATCAAATACCACTAAATTTCATATCTAATTATTAATTTAAAAATTATTTAGATTGTAACTATACTTGTCATTATTCATTTCTTTTATCTATTTTTGTCATTGTGAATTTTTTTTTTTTTAAAAAGCTAAGATTATTGGAGTACATTTCACAAGAAAATACGATTTTAGTCTACTTCAAAATTTTAGTGTTATTTGCTGATTCTTTGTCATGTTTTGTGAAATTTACTAGCAATTTCGGAGTGAAAATTGTTTTAAATTTTTTCAGTGTACTTTTGAAATTCCACTCTAAACATCTATGACGTGTGTGTGTGTGTGTGTGTGTGTGTGTGTAGGTGACTGCATGCTTCCTGCAGCGTCTCCGGTTGGGCTGCATAAGTTGGTTCAGTCTCTCTGCAGGCTGCAAGTAGAGAAGAGTCAGCTGAGAGGAGAGCTGCGATTGCTTCATTCCAAGCTTGAGCAGAGAGATCGAGATCGCCATACTAACGTACAGGCTTTCCAACAGCAGGTGCTCAGCATTATACTTCCCCTCTATTCATTCAGTCACAGATTCTATTCATTCATCCTCTCATTCAACCCACCAAATTTATTCATGCAATCAGCCATCCATTGACAAACAGTGTTTTTAATAGCACGTCTCTACATATTCCTCTCTGTTTACCAAACCAATGATTGTTAAAGTAAATAAAATTTACAAAATCAGGTATTAAACTCTGTTGACTGTACTTTTTATCCATTTATCTGTTAATTCAGTTTCACCCCCTTCACCCATTTTTCATTCCAGACTTGCTAAGCTGACAGCATTGATTTTCTCCCTGTAGATTGAGGAGCTGAAGAGCTGTATTGAAGAAAGAGAAGAGGAGCTGTCCAAACTCAGAGTTGCATCGGTAAGCTTTTGGAAGAATCTGTTCCAGTGCTCTGCATTTGAAACTGAGCACATTAAAAACCAGGCCAGACAGTCTCAAAATGTTTCATGACCAACAGTTTATCTGGGTTGTTTCCTCAGATATTTTTTCCAGGCCAGCTGTAACTTTTTTGGTGTGTTTTTTTTCACCAGGGTGTAACAGACTCAGAAAAACGAGTGCTTTGCTTATCAGCAGAGAACGATAGTTTGAAACACAGCCTCACAGTGACACAGGGTCTTCTGCAGCAGCTGTCAGTCATCCCATCCCAGTCCAGCTCCGTGCTCATCAAGGTAAGACTGGCTTTAAATGCATTGGGTATAATGTAAATCTATCTATCTATCTGTTTGTCTGTTTTTATCTATCTATCTATCTATCTATCTATCTATCTGTCTGTTTTTATCTATCTATCTATCTATCTATCTATCTATCTATCTACCTGTTTGTCTGTTTTTATCTATCTATCTATCTATCTATTTGTCTGTTTTATCTATCTATCTATCTATCTATCTATCTATCTGTCTGTCTATATATCTACCTGTTTGTCTGTTTCTATCTATCTATCTATCTACCTGTTTGTCTGTTTCTATCCATCTATCTATCTATCTATCTATCTATCTACCTGTATCTATCTATCTATCTATCTATCTGTCTACCTGTTTGTCTGTATCTATCTATCTATCTATCTACCTGTTTGTCTGTTTTTATCTATCTATCTATCTATCTATCTATCTATCTACCTGACTCACCAGACCTGAACCCCATAGAGAATCTATGGGGTATTGTCAAGAGGAAAATGAGAAACAAGAGACCAAAAAATGCAGATGAGCTGAAGGCCACTGTCAAAGAAACCTGGGCTTCCATACCACGTCAGCAGTGCCACAAACTGATCACCTCCATGCTACGCCGAATTGAGGCAGTAATTAAAGCAGAAGGAGACCCTACCAAGTTATTGAGTACATGTACAGTAAATGAACATACTTTCCAGAAGGCTAAAAATGTTTTTTTTATTGGTCTTTTGAAGTATTCTAATTTGTTGAGATAGTGAATTGGTGGGTTTTTGTTAAATGTGAGCCAAAATCATCACAATTAAAAGAACCAAAGACTTAAACTACTTCAGTCTGTGTGCATTTAATTTATTTAATACACGAGTTTCACAATTTGAGTTGAATTACTGAAATAAATGAACTTTTCCACGGCATTCTAATTTATTGAGATGCACCTGTATATGTGACAATCCTATTTTTCTGTTTTTATCTATCTATCTATCTATCTATCTGTCTGTTTTTATCTATCTATCTATCTGTCTGTTTTTATCTATCTATCTATCTATCTATCTATCTATCTATCTATCCATCTGTCTGTTTTTATCTATCTATCTATCTATCTATCTGCATATATGTGACAATCAACAAATAGAAAAAAAACAGCAGAAATAATGACAAAACAACAAATGTTAAAAAAAAAAAGTCAGCAAGCAGCAAAACAATAATCCTATAATAGTAACCTCATAAATTATTCATGCTGCAATGCATGCTGGGAACTCACAAATCCTTAACATTTTTGCAATATTGAAATGAACATTTTGAAATTGACTAGTTGGGACTACATTTGGGGGAATTATGTTATTAATTCTGTTGAATTATGTCTTAATAGGGCTTTTATGTAGTTTCAAGTAATTTTTTGTGACAAAAAAGGTCCTGTAAACTAGAAAATATGTAGTTGCTTTTTTACAGTGTAATGAATGGAATAACAAAGTGGCTCTACAAAAGTACACTTTTTGTTTATTATTTTTCTATTCTATTTAAAATAAAATACAAAATGCAGCCTGTGATCATACTGTTTCAAACAAATTACAAGGTGCACACACTCACTCATTTAGAATAAACTGAATTCTAAACCTCTGCACACATAAATGTGGAAATTGTATGAAATTATTAGTGTACTGTCTTACCCTGTAGGAAAACGAGAACCTGCGCAGTCGCGTTCTGCAGCTGGAGAGTTCACTGCAGCAGCGGGCAGAGCAGCTGTCACGTCTGGAGCACCAGAGGGAGCAAAGCGACTGGAGAAAAGCAGAAGAGCTCAGGAGACGAGAGGAGAGCGTGAGAGAGCTGCGGCTCGAATTGGACAAAGAACGCAACAAGGAGCCTGTGGTTAAAGTAAGAAAAAATGCAAGAATATGAACTTAAAAATCAAAAAAAAAACACCCAACAAACTAGATAAAAATGACATTTTATTCCCATAGTATGTTACCCAAACTGTGGAGGTAGAGTCACCTTCAACTCTACGCCAACTATCCGAAGCCAGACAACAGAATGAACAGCTTTCTGAGAAGCTAAGCAATCAGAGAGAACGATGCCGACAGTTGGAGGAGAACATCAGGCATTCAGATGAAGTCAGCTGCAATTTGCAACACAAGGTTTTTCAGCTTTATCCATTTGTGTTTATGATTGTACATACAGTATAACTGCAGCTAAAGAACTCAACAACCTCTGTTGCTGGTATCTCAAATACAAAACTCATGAATTATACAGTGCATGTCAGAACACTGTAGAAAACCTCCACTCTTCTAAAAAGTAGTGGCTCCACAGATTGCTGCATATGAGAGGGAGATTGGGACATTAAGGGAGGAGCTGCTGAAGGAGATTGGACATCTTGAGGAAAAGAAAGAAGCGGCTGTAAAAGCGGCAGCTAACTGCTCTCAGGAGCATCTCCAGAGCCTGCAGGATCAGTTCACAAGTGAGTTTACTGTATATATAGTACAAATCTTATAGTTTATGCCCGTTTCTTAAAGGAACAGGCAATAAAAAAATAAAAATATGTTGAAAATGTACTCAGGCCATCCAAGATTTAGATGAGTTTGTTTTTTTCGAACATTTGGAGAAAATTAGCATTACATCATTTGCTCACTAATGGATCCTCTGCAGTGAATGTGTGTGCTATTATGAATTATGGATTTATAATTTCACCAGAAGCGACAGTTTAGCGTTAAAATAATGTTTTGTTTTTTATAAACACAGTTTTTAACTTCACAAGAAATTAACTGATGAACTGGAGTCATGTTGATTATTTGTGGATTATTGTGATGTTTTTATCAGCTGTTTGAACTCTCATTTTGACGGCACCCATTCACTGCAGAGGATCCATTAGGGAGCAAGTGATGTAATGCTCAATTTATCCAAATCTGTTCTGATTTGGAAACAAACTCATCTCTATCTTGGATGGCCTGAGGGTGAGACCACTTTCAGCTAATTTTGTGGGTGAACTATTCCTCTAAAATGGTTTTGGTGATTTCTGGAATGGCGCACTTTATATCATCTTACAGTCTTCGGAGTGTGCTCATGAGCGCCCCTGTCGTTGGCATTGTTAAATGTGCATCTTAAGTGCAGCAATGTATTCAGCTTAGTTTATGTTTATGTGTGGAATCTCCAGCCCTCCAGAAGCGTCTGAGTGCTCTGCCTCCCACATTACGCACCATGAAGACTGATTATGCCAGCCTTCGCAGCCAGGTCCGCAACTTTTCTGACTTCTATGGAACAGCTATCAAAGAAGCCAAGAAACAGGTACTGCAAGCTGCACAAACTTGTACTAAATGTAGAACTTCTAAAATCTAAGAGTTGATATAGTCACATTTTATTTGTTGCTTTTCAATTATGAATCATTTTTTAATATTACAACAGATTATGGCAGCTATAAATGAGATGTCAGAGGCCAACAAAGACCTTTTGGAAAAATACAGAAAGGAGGTAGCTCTCCGCAGGAAGTACCACGAGCAGCTGGTTGAGCTTAAAGGTAGGCAGTATTCACCATTCTTTCACCATATTTTTGTCTAAAATGCAAAATCTAAAACAAGTTGTTGTTTTTTTTCACCAGGTAATATCCGTGTGCTGTGCCGTGTAAAGCCAGTACTGAAGGAAGATCAACATGAAGAAGGCCAAGCAGTAGTTGTGACAACAGACCCCAATAATGAATCTGCACTCACAGTTTTAAGCAAAGGAAAGGCTAAAAACTTTGAGCTGGATAAAGTCTTCCACCCTCAGGCCACTCAAGAAGAGGTAAGCAGGGTAAAAGTCATATTCAACCTCACTATCACTAAATTGGTCATTTTCATGGCCAATATTAAGATTCTATACTATCCAAAGCTATAGCTATCTAAAAGAACTCTTTTTGATATGTATTTTTGACTATAGAGAATGGGAATCTACGTCACGCCGCGTTGGATTCCGCCATGTTTTAGGTCACGCTCTGGAGCACACCGTGTAAACACGCAAATCACCACAGAAAAAGCTGACCGTTTACTATTAATATTTTTTTTTGAAAACCATCTTACATACTCTTAGAATAAAACGGACTAATATGTAAATCTCTCTTTTTTTTTTTAATCGCTCTGTGGTTTGTCTGAGAGGCTGCAAATATTCATTATTCAGTCTCCTTCACTACAGTGGTGCTGATATAGGCTAGCTGCTAAAACACTGGTCAGAGCAGCAGAACCATGGCTATTTTTAAAGGGGAGAATACATAGCTAGATCTCAAACAGTGGATCATTTATCATGGTTATATATCGTCATATTGCCCAATAAAACTGCTCAGTGTAAAGAATTAAGCCATTATAGAGGTAACAGAGCTTACTGTAAGCTGCTTTGAAACGATGTGTATTGTCATATATGATTTTCTTCTATTTGTAGTGTGAGGGCTTACAGTTTAATGCACTGTATATAATAAATCTAGAGATCAATTATTAAGCCACATCTTATTTGAGTTGTTTACCATACAGAGTTTCAGTTTAACTTTCATCCGAGTTCTGTAGTGAATGTAAACATTTTATATTATTTTATGTTTATATGATTCAACTTAAGATCATGTTGGAATGATTAACGCTTACTGTATCAACATAGCGTTAATCAAAAGCAGAGGTATTTCATGCAGACATTGATGTGTCAATAGCATAGCATAGCCCTTATCAATGTCTGCAGGAAATACATCTGCTCTTTCAGCTTTCTAACGCTGAAAAAAGCACGTTTTTCACACCGGCCGTGCAAAGGGCTATGGCAAATAATGTAAAGTGAGCCTTAACCACTCCAACGCGATCTTAAGTAGAATAATATGAACATGAAATCATCAAACGTCTACATTCACTATATTATCCAGTCTCCGCTGTAGCTCCCGTGACCTAAATTCCCAGAATGCATTTCCGCTGTGACGACACATTCCCATTCTCTATTCTTGGTCTTTATCTCAGGTGTTCCAGGAAATTGAGCCACTCATCACATCCTGTATAGATGGATATCACGTTTGCATCTTTGCTTATGGCCAGACAGGATCTGGCAAGACCTATTCTATGGAGGTAACATATAGGGATCTGTAATGATATACCGGTCATAACAAATGGTTCCAATTTCATACTTTTGACCCAGATTATCTGTTTCCATTAATTATTCAATAAGACTGTCAGGTCTCATTAACCGTCCGTGTCTGCTCAGGGAACCGTTGAGAACCCCGGCATCAACCAGCGAGCCCTGAAACACCTGTTCAATGAGATTGAGGAAAGAAAAGACATGTGGACATACACCGTCAGTGTCAGCTCGGTGGAAATTTACAACGAGGTCCTGAGGTATTGCATTTTACCCCTTTATCATGCCAAAATCTATGGTGGTTGCCACGTGAATGCAAAATAAATTGTTGCCAATAATGTTAGAAGCATCTAAGTAAAGTGAGCTTTTAGATCATTAAATAACCTGACGTTCAATTGATGTTTATGAGGAATATTAAGGATTAGTTCACCCGAAAATTAAAATTCTATCATTAACTTCTCACATTCATGTTGTTCCAAACTCATAAGATTTCCTTTCAACTTTATAACTCCAATAAAGATATTTTATGGCACGCAAGAGATTTCTGTCCTTCCTTTGAAAGTCTATTCCAAAACATTGATTCTTAAATATGAATCGAGTGGTTTAATTCAAGTCATTTATTCCCATTTAAACATTGATCAACACATACATAGAGCACATCAAATATGGTAAGTGAAAGCTCAATTGTACTTGCTTGACATGCAAGAAAAAAACTCATTGGAAAAACCCTGGAGCTTTCTTTTACAGTCTCTTTATGTACTTTTTGATGTGTCAAACTTTTGGTTAAATGGACTTTCAATGGAGGAACAGAAATTTCTAGTTTCATTTTTGGGTGCACTAACCCTGTATTACAATTAAATCATTAACATTTCTTTATTGTTAACGTCAGAGATCTGCTCAGTAAGGATGGAGAGAAACTTGACATCAAGATCAACCCTGATGGGACGGGTCAGCTTCATGTGCCAGGACTCAGGGTCATGGAGGTCAAAAGCTTCCAGCATATCAAGAAAGTGAGTTCATATGTCAAGATAATGCTGACTATACAAAGACCACTCTCTCCAATGATCTGTTGTTACTTTTTGCAGATTTTGGCCATAGCTCGAAAGAACAGGATTACATTTGGAACACAGATGAACCAGCATAGCTCTCGATCTCATGCCTTGCTCACTGTGACTGTGCTGGGCACAGACCTCGCCAGTGGAGCCAAAACCACTGGTCAGTCCCAACGATTCTGGAACAATTTAGATTGCTTGAGTTGTGTGAGAATTCTCAAAGTCCTCAAAGTCATGAGTTCCCCCTCTAAAAGCTGTCGCTATCCTTGAATGACCATAATCTGTGACCTCTCCTTTACAGGCAAGCTGAATCTCGTGGATTTGGCTGGTTCTGAGAGGGTGTGGAAGTCTGGGGCAGAGGGGGAGAGACTGAAGGAAGCCCAGAATATCAACCGCTCACTGCTGGCTCTAGGAGATGTGATCCAGGCCTTGAAGGCCCACCAGACTCACATACCCTTCAGGAACTCACGACTCACCTACCTGCTGCAGGACTCACTGGGAAAAGGCAACAAAACCGCCATGGTTGTTCAGGTACAATGATTTACCAAGACTCACTAGCTAACCCTGTTAGCTTAGCTGTGCCAAGCCCCTTTCAAAACGACAAATGTGAAAAATTGGCCGGGGTTTAAAAAGGCAATAACCCAGAGTTGGTTGGATCACAGCGTTAAAGCGCTTCCTACATTGTAATGTCAATTTTTAAATCAAGCCAATGAACAACAAAGCTCATGTAAAAAATAATTTGTTTTCTTTAGGTTTCTTCTCTTGAGAGCAATGTTGGAGAGACCCTGTGCTCGCTAAAATTCGCCCAGCGAGTGTGTAAGGTGGAGCTAGGCCCTGCTGCAAGAAAAATTGAGACGGGGGGACATAACGAAAGCAAAAATTAATGCATACCATCAACCCTCACAAGTAAACACCAGAAATGGCATCAACTCAAGCCTTGCACTTTTCCAATCCTACTCAAGGGCTACAGTTCTGGTAACATCTGTGATGCCACATAAGTTCCAGTTTCTTCCTGCTACTTAGCAATGGCTTTTCTCCACCAGCTGATCTGCATGTCAAAGTCTCACCAACACCACCAATATCTAGACAAGCTCTCTGTCACCATAAGTTCAAAATATCACAGAAAATTCTCCACAGGGAAGACTGGTGAGGATATTTCAGTAAATCTTGCAAAAAAACACTTTGTGGAGTCACTACACAAGAGGCCACAGTATCGTAATTGTGTAATGCTTAAAGGTTCTACTGATATTTACTCAAAAACCTTTAAATTGTTTGGTATAATATATAGTCTAGGAAATAATGGCCAAATTATGTATTTTTTGTGTATGGTTGGTGTGGACTTCTATGATTGTTATGTGTGTTGAACCAGCCAATCTGTCTTTTATTAGGTTCAGAGGATGTGAGTTCAGCCAAATTGCACGAGATCAGCATTTGCTGATTTTATTTCTCTGACAGAGGTGTTGTCTTAGCGTTTCAAGATCCAAGCTAATAACCGTAAGGTCTCATTCTCAACCACTAGGGCCTCGTTTATAAAGTGTGCGTTCGCAAAGATTTGATCTTAGAGTGTGTGTGCGCTTAAATCCACGCCAACGCTAATATTTGTAAAAACTGCCTTTGACGTGGAAAAGTGTTTATCGTCACGTCAGGGTCTGAGCAGACGTATGTACTTTTTCTTGTCGGAGTGCTGCAGGTTTTTGGAAATGTAAGCTGTTCTTGCAGCTCGCTGTTCTAAATTCAAGAATTTGGACGATGACTGGTGATCTTTTGTTAATGACATTAATTAGGAATCGTTTACAAGGCAGAGAGCTGAAACCATTCAGTTGCGGGCAAGTTCAAGATTAGTTGCGATTCATAGATTTCACATCTGAAAGAGAGGCGTACGTGCGTTTTCTGTGCGTACGTTCATTCTATGAATCACACATAGGCCTACACATATTTGAGAGATGATCGTAAGATCAAGTTTAGGATGGTTTCTGCGCAACCTTTTATAAGCGAGGCCCCTGAAACGGTGATTCATGAAATTATTTGATGATAAATTATTTGGCTGATTCTTGAGTTACTTGATAACACCACTCTGTCACTGAAGGAGAAAATAAAGCCAGGATTTGGAAAGGAAACCATTTGCTAAAGATGAGAACGAATGTATCTATACTTCACAGCATATTGTGTGCAATAGCACCTCTTAGTGGTGAGCATCTACTTTTTTGGTTTTGGCCCAATTGAGAGTGACCACACAGAACAAAATGTTACTCTTAAACATTAATATATATATATATATATATATATATATATTCATTATTAATTCGTAATAGACATACCAACATATCAATATATTTAAATTATATATTATTATTATCTTCCTAGGATGTTTAGGATAAGTTTACGTTTAATGTGAAATGTCATTATTGCTCTTTTAGTTTTAGCCATGTTACAGGGGGAGGTGAGGAATGCACTTTATTGTCAGAGACTTGTGCTGTCCATACGACTTGTCTTTTAACAAAATGTACAGTAGGTCTATCAGTTTGTTTCCGAAAATTTGCATCTTTTAAATCGTGGCAGAATAATTCTAGAAAATTTTTTTTATCTGACACTGATTTAACTCTTCTTTAAGCAAAAATTTACTTGATTTTATTAAGTACTTGAAGAGACTGGCTCATGTACACACACTAATTTATTCTAACTTATTCTACATATCATGAAGCCAGAATAATGTACTGCAGTTTTATCTGTACTGTTCTCCTCAATTATCATATTGTATTCTTCTCTGTAACGTGTCTGATTTTAGAACTCTCTCATATTAATGAGAAAGGAGAAAAATACATTATGAAAATATGAATTTAGCCCTTCTTTATCAGCATTCAGGTTCTGTTTTAAAAGAAGTGTATTGACATTGGAAAATGTTTTTATCATAAGACCCAGAAAGGAAAAAGACCGAGTCAATTTAGAAAAGAAAGAACTGTTTACTTATACAAAACAACAAAATAATAATAAAAAGGAGAAAGTCATCTTTGTGTACTCCATAATGAAACACAAAAACACCTGTATTCCTCTCATTCTTCCTTTCTGTATCTCACTCTCTCTCACAATCACCTGATCTGGATGTGTGTGAACTCATGCTGAGCTCAGCATAAAAAAATCAGTTTTAAACACACACTGCTATGTAATGAGGATTTGGGCAGGAAACTTCTAGAAAATCAGTTGTGCGTGACCGTCATTCTCAACAGATTCAATCCGAGTCTCCCTCTTCCACGCCAACTGCTCCGACCGCTCCAGCCAGCTCTTCCTCGCTTCCCTTGAGCCGTTCACCTGTGGAATGACACAAATGCCCAGACATATCTATGAACATCAAATATGTGTTTCACCAAAAACTCTTGTGTGCTCTATGTCTGATTTGGTGATCCATAAAATACTTGTTTTTAAGAAATTACAGAATTTTCATTTAAATTGTGGGTTTAAGAGACAAAACTAGTAATGTTAGGTCTAGTTTGTGCCAGAGGAGCGTACAGAGACAGGAAGTCCATATATGATGTCATTAAGAGATCTCCAGAGCTTTTGAACCTTCTCAGCAATTAGCCTTACATCAAGCCCTGGTGGAGCTCAATGCAAAAAGGCTCTACAACTATAGTTTCAATATATTACTGATAAAAGAAGTGATGCAGAGATGGATTAATGCTTTAGTTATACATTGTACATTATATTAGTGTCCACACCAAAGGGACGTTCTAACATTCATCTTATTAAAAGCGTGCTGCAGTTGTCATCTGTCACTTTAAATGCTCAAGCTCTTTCAAATTAATGTTTTTATCATTCATCATCAGCTGGAACAAATAATTTGCATCGTTATTGTGTCGATTTGCAATTAGAACAACTATTGAAAATTTGTCATTACAGTTATCATTATAGATATCATCCCTGGTGCAGACCTGCCTTAGTCTCTGTCATGTCATACTCACGTATAAGTTCAGCAATGGCTTTCTGTGTTCGCCTCTCTAATTTCTCAAGTTTCTTGGCAACGTCCCTCTTTAGATCCCTATTACAAACACACAACACAAGCATTAAATGAATGAAAATTTTAACTAAAATGGATCTCAATGAATATGATGCATGATTGCGTTTTAGGAGTAAAAATTTAATGTTTGTACCAGTCTGGTTTTCTGGGGGCAAGATTGGCCAGATCCTGAGAACACAAGTCAAGAGTGAAAAAAGAGAATAAGATTAGTTTAAATTCAGTGATTCTTGCACTGTTTGAGACGACACTTTTCCACTACAAAAGACATAATGAGAAATAATGACATGTAAATAAGTCTACAAAGACAGAGCACACATACAGTGTAATTTGTTTAATGAGCAAACAACTCTTTTGAGCTGGTTCTTTTAATGAATTGTTCAAAACAAGACTCACAAATTATAGGTTTGAAGCTCCTACTTCAAAAAGTTTGCAAACACATTCGCAAATTTTTGTAAATTAATTATTTTATTTAGCAATGAACTAAACAGAAGTGAAAGCAAATACATTTATAATGTTACAAAAGATTTATATTTTAAATAAATGCTGTTTTTTAACTTGTCAGTAATCAAAGAATCCAGAATTACGGTTTCCAACCTTGATAATAAGAACTGTTTTTAATAATTAAGCACCAAATGCAAGTATCAAAATAATTTCTGAAGGATCATGTGGCACTGAAGACTGGAATAATGGCTAATGAAAATGTAACGTTGCATCACAGAAATAAACTACATTTTAAAATACATTAAACATGAAAAAATATATTTTACAATGTAATACATTTTCACAATATTACTGTATTTTTGATCTAATAAATGTGGCACTGGTGACTTCTTTCAAAGAGACTTCTTACAAAAACAATAAAAAAATCTTAATTATTCCAAAAGTTTGACAGGTAGTGTATATATTCAGGAAACACTGGTGCTCTCCATATGGCATCATGTTTGAAAACTGAGACTTTGTATCACTCACCACTTCCTCAATCACAGGCTCTGGGTTTGCAGCTTCCAGCTGGTCCTTGACCTTGTCCTCCACTACAGTAATATGAAATAAGACCAGTCAGACAACCTGTAACCCAACACCTGATCACCTGCTGTAACATTATCACCCAGCATCACTATCAGTGAACGGTCTGTTTAATTTGCTGGTATAAACATTTGAAAATATAATTTAAAGTTACAGCCAGTAATATGTCTTGCAGGTAAGCCAGAAGTGTTCTCACCTGATGCAGGTTTTGCTTTGGGCACCTGTCGCTCCTTCAGCTCCTCGTCCTCCGGCATGTAATTCCTCAGCTTCAGCTCTCTGCAAACATAATTCCAGAATTATGTAATTCACTCAGTTATAAAGTCACTTCCCCATTATAACCTATTCAAGGAGATATTACAAAGGCGATCACACAAGCAATCACAGGAAACCCCAGTAACCAGCAGGTGGCAGTGCAGATAAACATTTAGTTTGGACCATCAGCAGCTGGTGCTGTTGGATCACTGAATCTGGCCTGTGACAGCATCCAGAGTACATTTGCTCACCATGTGAACAAAGCATCCCTTCATCTTTGTAGCACTAGCTAATTAGCATGTAGCATCTGACTGTGTCTAGGGACTGCAGGCTCACAGCTGAGAGGGGCTGAGACAAGCCCAATTATGCCATCGCTCAACCGGCAGGTTTGTTAACATCTTTGCAAGTTACAACAAAATTGGCTGCTGGACCTCCAGGGAAGCATAGAGGGTTCTTCACAGCTTGATCAACAGAAGATGCATCTGAAGGTTCGTATAGGAGACTGAGAATTCATTTTCATCAAATTGCTCACTGGTTTGTCTCCAGAGATGTGTGCCCATTTTTTCCTCAAAAAAAGGGGCTACAGCAGACCTACATTCATCACCACTTTATGAATAAATAATGAATATTTAGTAAAAAAACTGATGTATACACTCACATGTTATTAAGGTAAATGTAATTACTTTTTACCTGACGGCTATACCACATGACATTTGCAGTCATTTAACTGAAGTTTTTCTTTAAAGTGGTATAAAAGTTTTCAAAACCAAAGTCATGTGGTGCAACCAATATTAATAAAATGATATCAAGGACAATAAGTCAATTTTGCGACATTTTCATGACAAAGCAAGGTTAGTGCAACTTGTAAAATGTCATGTGGTGCGACTCTCCAAAAACTAAAAATTAAATCAAAATGATCTTTTCCTTGAAAAATATTTTTTAAATGTTTTGAAACAATTAAGA